TACTTCTGCTAAAATTTAACCACTAGCTTCACAGCTTACACCCTAATCTTTTCTTCTACCCCGTTTAAGCTCAAATGTTCCCTGGAAATGTTACCAGTCTGGCTGCAAATGTTCAAATTGGATGAGACATTAATATGTCTCATACATAAGGATTAAGACCTGCAAAGCCAAGGGGGTTAAATTACCAGACCAAATGGATGCACAGCAATTATTGTCAAACACTGTAATATTCTGCGTGCTATTAAAGGTGACAGAAAGGAGGAGTAGCCAACAAGAGGTGGATGTTGGTATTTAGGGTGACTAGATTGAAAGGGAAGGGGGAAACATTAGAAAGAGAGGAGAATAGGGGTATTTTCCTGGGGGGTGGTATTCAGGCCAGACAATTAGGATGAGCAGGAGGAGAAGAAAGATAGGGGCCAAGGCTGCAGGTCTGCGGGCTAGACAAGACTATCTTCCCCCAGGGGGGAAACAGCCTAGATTTGTTTAGAGAAGAAGACACAAGAACAATCCTCCAGAGAAAATGGGCCAGACAGACAGATGGACGAAGAGATGGAGGGATGGAGAGATAGCAGAATGGAGGGATGGAGACTGGGAGGTGCAGCGAAAGTGAGAAAGACAAAGAGAGACACCCAGAGGGATCCTGGGATTTCCAGGTAGAGTTGAGTGGAAATGTGACAAGCAGCTGATGAGAAGATTAAGAGTTAAACAGAAAAGGTGAGTCGAGGCTCCAAAGGAAGACAAAGCAAAGAATCAGAGCGTTTGAGACTGAGAAAGAGGATGTTGTTGAAAAGATATGAGAACGCCGAGCTGGTTATACAACTGCTGCATAATTAAAACTTTAAATCCTTCAAATCTGGAAACATCTGGTCAAAAAGAACGGGCAGAAGCAGGCTGACCTCATATTTCCTGCACTAAATGACCGTGACACGTGTGTCTGTGTGTGTAAATTTATGTCCTCCCTAATTTGGAAATAAATCAAACGCTAAAGAGATATAGAAAGTATGAAGAGCATCAATAAATCAGCTGTGAATAAAACCTGTCGTGAAGGAATTTTTGCCGGTCTGAGCTGTAAATAACTGAGACGTCTTCTTTAGTCTGTAAAAAGACAAATGTTTTGTGGTATCTTCCAGACTTTAACAATGTTTACATGTAGAGGTTTGCATTGGTGTGCTGTGAAAAAATAGAGTATCTTTGAAGCAACAGGCACATTTTTTTGGTTCTTTCTACAGGGGAGTTAATAAACACCAATGCTTTTATTAACTTTACACTGGACTGTTTTTACTTTTACAAATTAGAAGGCATCCCCCCAGCGCTGACACTATATTGGCTTATATGTATTAGCTCGGTGCTAGCGCAACTAACAAGCTAAACTGAGGTCCTCCATCCATATTTTCAGTTGCAGGTTGCATTCTCCTCTCTGTCATGTGGATGGAGGACCTCAGTGAGGAGAGGAGAATGTGTAGCGCTGAGCTAATACATATATATGGTGATAGCGTCACAGCTAATGCTAAAGCTAACAGGCTAAGCTGAGGTTCTTCTTCCATGAAGCAGCTCTGTTGTCCTCCATCCATATTTTCAGTTACAGGCTGAGTCATTTCTACCTTCTCCTCTCTGTCAACGCTCTCTGGTTTCATTTAAATGAGCGTATCATCAGATATTGCCCAAGATTAACCTTCAGGGTGGAATATAGCTCGCTAGCAGCCTCTCACCGATGACCTATCCACGTCATCATTTACCCAGAATGCTTTGCATGTAAATAAAATGGCCCCGTCCGTGTAATATATCTTTAAACTTCTAGTTTAAAAATTATAAAAACTAAACATCCTACAGTATTTTTACAGACTTTATTTTACAGTTAAAATATTTGTTTATCAAATAAAGTCTAATGTTACAACTAATCGGGGCTCCCTTTAAAGGGTAGTGACTGTGGAGAATTGTCCATGTATGAATGTGAAACATATCAGCGTTTAGAGAGACTTCAGCATCATCTTGCAACAAACCATGATGCTGCTGGTAAAACAGGAAAGTAAACCTGGTAAACATTCTACCAGCCAAATAACTTCATTACCAACATGTTTATACTCTGTCAGAATTTAGCTTAAAGCACTTGTTCTTTTCACACAAACGTACAGTATATCTACTCTACCATATTTATTTATTTCAGTTTTTACTTTGCTCCGACGTGTCACTGAGAGTGGATTCTTAGGTTTGTCTTCACTGAGTGCCACCTAAAAGCTTTTCTCCTGGCTTTTAGTCTCCGCACATAAAAAATTGTTTATCTTTCCACATCTCAAAAAACGTTTCCCCACAAGCAGACCCCAGTCACGTTTGGTCACCAACATGGACAAATATGGTTCTGTCCACCTCTGTAGATCGGCTGTGAAGGTCAAGTGTCCGCTGGGGTGCACTATAATTTAGTTTTATCTGCTCTTTGTTCAGTCTGATTACCATCTCATCAATGTTTCCAGCAGGTTTTAAGAGATACTGCCTGTTAACCACACTCAAATGGGTCCCACAGGGCTGCTTGTGTAGCTATAAAACCGAGCACAGTCCTTATAAATCATCTAGTGCTTTATTTTTTTTAACTCCCTTAAAAACTTTGTGGAACTTTAGATAAAAGCACACATATACATCACCTTGAGTAATAAAACAACCTGTCTTTAAAAAAATCTTTTAAGACAAGTGGAAGGGAGGTGAAAAATAAACACAAGAGATGATAAAGTTTTGGATTGATGAAAGGGTTTGAGCACAAAGGGACATTTTTCTGTGGAATGTGAACCAGAAAAGAGAACTAACAGAAAAAAATAACATGATGGAGTTGATGAAACGAAGTAAACTATATAAGAAGGAGAGAATCAGAAATAGTTACAGTTAATAAAATGCAAAGAACAAAATCTAGAAACGAAAACTTGCAACACTAAGCAGCAGAACGTGAAAGCTGCAGAGTGTAAACTGCCCATCATGCAACGTGCAAGGATGCATTATTTCTTTGTGTTTGATGTGCGGGAGCTCCCTGATCCGTCACCGTGTGTGGTGGTGAGTGTGTGTTGATGAGTGTGTGTTGATGCGTGTGTTGTGATGAGATGAGATTAGCCTTCCTGCAGGGCCGTGGCTCCATGGAGGCCACCTGAAGCAGCAGGAATGACAAGAATGTGGGAACTATGATACGTTTCGCCGTCTCCATCACCAAAGCTCCTCAGCGTGGAAGAGGAGAGCAAAATATGACCTTTAACTCATTTTTAAAATTATTTCAAAAATAATTGCAATCAAATAAGAGGGAGTGCAAAATGTGTGCACTTATTGCAATTATACACCTTTCCTATTAAACACCATATCTGCTGTATAAATTAATTTAAAAACTCAGAACCATTATTGTAAACAGTACATCATTATCCCTCTAAAGGCGACAAACTAATCTAAATTTTCTTCATTTTATTACATTAATGCAAATATAATTTTAAAATAACTTAGCAATCAGGTCCTTGAAGATAAGCTCTACATTCGATGACTCAGTTTCTTTCTTTTTGTTCCTGCTAATTAACGGATTACTCATTTTTGCTCAGCCCAAAAGAGAAAAAGACAGACAAGGCTCCACTCTGCTAACTCTGTGTCTCAACATTAGTTTGAGCTCTGTGAGTTTCTAAATCTTTCAAAGCTATTTGGCAAACATACCCTAGGAGCTGAATCAAGTCATGTATTTATAGAATATCACAGCATGCCTCCCGGAAAACAAAGCGCTCTCTTCTCTGCCGTTGTGATGGGGTGGTAACAACATTCCCAGCTTTTATTTCAGACAAAACAAGACAAAACAAAAAATCTTTGAAGCAATTGGAATAAAAAAACTATAAAAAAAACTCAAGTTTTTTCTGAACTGTGACAGGAAATAACTAAATTATACAACAGTGAGCAAAACTAAATGTGTAGCTAGACGGGGACAACTTGTTAGGTTCTTAATTGAATCTTTGTTTTTCTCAGTTAGGTTTGAAATTTACATTTTTACATATTTCCCAAAAATCCTGAACTGATTAAACTGAAAACACATATTTATGTGTAAAAAAAATAACAGTTAAAACAACCACAGCTGCAACAAAGTGCTGTAAATGTAAAATGAAAAACATGGAAAAACACAAAAAGAAGATTAAAAACAATAGAAATCAATAAAAACAATAAAATAGGAATTGAAAAAAAACTAAAAACAAGTCTCAGGATGTGCCGAAAGCCAGGGAGTAGAGATGTGTTTTTAAAAGAGTTTTAAAAGTGAACACTGAACGGCCTTGTCTGACAGGAAGTGGACGATTGTTCCAATTTCTCCTCAAGCACTTGCTTAAAGGGAAGGTTGGTTGTTTTCTATGAATAGGTGCAGATTTATATAGATAATTTTGAAATAAATGGTTAAAATCGGGGTTCAGATTCCATTATTCAGTGTTTTTTAAGACGATCCACAACTTCACCTGTTTGAGTCCAATCTGGTTCGAACTGACAGTGTCTGAATCAGACGCCCTTAAAGATGGACAGATGGCGACAGCGACGTGAGAAAACGCATAAAAGCGTTGTGAGCTGCTGTTCGTGAGATGAAGAGTGAAGGCTGAGGTGTGATGTTGGTGTGAGGAACAGCAGGTGTCGTCCTCCGGTGGCGGACTCGGCCCTCGGCTCTCCCACTGTGGCTGGTTATTAATGGCTACAGATTCATTACCAGCAGCCACTCAGCCATGCTGCCAGTATGCCCAATGCTATTAGTCACACAACACACTGATAGATGTGCACGCTCCCATACACACAATGGCATACACATAATGAATACAAAGTGCCCAACTTAAACACACAAGCATGGATCACTACAAGGACGCATGAATATTGCTCACATATAGTCAAACACTTACAGTGCAACAATAACGTAATACGGAAATTGCTTTAAATGATCATTTATGTGCTGCGTAACTAATGTTTCTGTTTTTTTGTCTCTTGTTCATCCCTCTTCTTCTTATTCTTTGTGCATTCAGAGGACATTTTTATTCTCCAAGGGAAGGACAAGAAGAATCCTCTCATCTACGGCCTGTTTACCACTTCAAGGTAATCATCTTTGTAATGCAGAAACGATGGACATAAAGTAATGTATAATTTATAAATCATTTACATTCCTGTTTATGATGAGGGGAGAAAGTGCCTTTAATTTTCACTGCACACGCAGAGTCCTCCTACACAGCGAGTTCAAACAGTTTGAGTTAAAGATATTTGTCAGTTTCTACCATCAGATACTGTAAATTTAGATCAGGCTTTTCTGCAGGGGAGGAAAACTTTAAATGTCAAGTGAAGAGAGGAACAAGCGTAAAACAAGAAACTTCCAGCTGAGCTACTGGAGGCCTTGTATGAACAGTACAGGAGGTGGAGTTGCAAAGTTTAAAAATAGTGTCCTGAAAAGTTGGACTCTTTATTCAAAAGAAAAACTAAATTTCTTTTTTAAAACTCAATCCTTGTATTTGGCAATTTGGGAGAAAGGTTGAACACAGGGTGGGTCTTTGAAAGTTTTCTGTTTAAGTCTTTAGGAGTCTGCTCTGGTTTTGTCTCTTTGGAAAAACCACAGGTCTTGATCAGCTTGATGGTAGTAAACGTTTCTCCTAAATTCCAGTATACGCCTCTGGATCTCGATACCCTCCCACATGTGAAAGCCATCCAGGCCGTATACCCAGATGCACCCTCGGAACATCACAGGCTTTTTGTTTCTTTGGTAATAACAGCTTGAATGCTCTTTCTCATCTTTGGCCACAGACCTTCGTTTTTACCACAAACAAGCTGAAAGCGTGGACTCATCTGACCACAGAACATGTGTTTGCTGTGTTTCTGTGCGTCTGAGATAAGCTCATGCCTCACGAAGTCAGCAGAATTTTCTGCAGAGTTGATATATGAGCTCTTTCATGTTTAAGTTACAACCAAACTGTATTAAACATGAAAGAGGCAGCTGTGGACTGTGTAGAGTGACTGTTTTCTAATATTCCCACTAATGTGCTTAATAATAATTATGTTGTCACTGCCATTATGTTGGTCACTGGCAATTTATTTTTACCCTTGTGCAAGACAGTTGTGTAGCACTGGCAGCTTACATTAGGAACATCACAGGCAGTTGACATAAAGTTCTAAATTGTGTTAAAGGGGCAATATCATGTAAAATCAACTTTTTTGAGTTTTAAATCATGTTATAATGTTATACTCTCATAAAAAAACATGCTCAAAGCCTTGCTCTGACACATTCATGCATGTTTGAGAAATCCTGCAGCATTTTTAGGCAGCCATGCTGAGGAGCAAAACGACAGGTGGGGACCAGAAACGTCTTTTGGTACCAGAAACGCACCTGGGATGTGTCTTTAAAGGGATCCCCGATTAGTTGTAACATTAGACTTTATTTGATAAACATATATTTTAACTGTAAAATAAAGACTGTAAAAATAATGTAGGCTGTTTAGTTTTGTAAATTTAAAAATATATATTTTAACACGGATGGAGCCATTTTATTTACATGCAAAGCATTCTTGGTAAATGATGAGGTGGATAGGTCCTCGGTGTGAGGCTGCTAGCGAGCTATATCCACCCTGAAGGTTAATCTTGGACAATATCTGATGATCGACTCTTTTAAATGAAACCAGAGAGGAGAAGGCAGAAACGACTCAGCCTGTAACTGAAAATATGGATGGAGGACAACAGAGCTGCTTCATGGAAGAAGAACCTCAGCTTAGCCTGTTAGCCTTTGTGCTAGCACTGATGCTATATTGCCTTATATGTATTAGCTCAGCGCTAGCGCGACAAACAAGCTAAACTGAGGTCCTCTATCTATATTTTCATCACGGTTACACCTCCCCACCCTCCACCCCACACACCCCACCCATGACTCCTGCAGGCTCTCGGCAGTAACAAAGCAAACGAGTGAAAGTGAAACTTAAACTGTCTGCTGAGCCTCTCAACATTAGTTCTCACTCAGTGAAGCTCTTTTCAGATTCAAAATACCTTTGAGGAAATGTATTTTCAGGAGCCAAGTAAACTGCATCATAGCGCACCACATACCAATCATAACACGAGGCTCGGGCTGAGTGTTTGGGACTAAACAATGACGCCTCATCTAACACACTGTCATGTGAGACGCACAGAGGTCAGTGTCACAACCTGTGAGATACCCACCCTCCACACTTTCTGATGTCACGGTGACTCATGAGGGAAACATTCATTCATGTTCACATCATGTGAGCTTCCGTCATCACTTTTATCAGCTCACTAGAACAAGCTCTGTATTCTTTTGTGTTCATTATGAGAAATATGAGTTTATGGAGCAATGCCATCCATCCATCCATCATCCATCCATTCATCCATCCATCCATCCATCCATCCATCCATCCATCCATCCATTCATCCATCCATTCATCCATCCATCCATCCATCCATCCATCCATCCATCCATCCACTATGCCTTGAAAATGATCAGAATCCCAAACTGCTTCAGTTGAGGAAGGAGTCTACTCTCCTTATCTCAAGGCTGAGTCTAGCCAACCTATAGAGAACTTTACTTCAGTCACCTGTATCTGGGATTTTACTCTTTCACTTATAATCTATTCATCTTGACAATAGGTGAAGGTTGGAACAAAAACAGACAAGCAAATTAAAACCTTTTCCGTTTAGCTTATATTTATCTTTTCACCGCGACAGACCGAAGCAACTCCCTCCATAATGAGGACAAGGCCCTGACCTGTCAGTTCATCTCTCGCTCCATCTTACCATCCTACATCACACCTGGAACTCCTCCACTTGAGCCAGCGACTCTATAATTCACTCACAAAAGAAAATACAGGACAAAAGTGTGTTTCTAGTAAAAACACAAATGGGACTGAGAAAAGGCTCAAGGAGCCTGGAACAGAAGACAGCTGAACAAATAAATAAAGGCAGTGTCTCTGAAAATATGGTGTAGGGGAAAAGTAAAAATAAAAAAGAAGAAGAAGAAATGAGTTCCCGAGGAATATATTAAGAAAGCCTGGGTTTTCTCATTTTCTCCACGTTACTGTTGGCGTGACATGCCTGTTCCTGAGCCTGACTCCAGAGCTCCACAGTAGCAACAAAACTATGACAACATTTGGTGTGGTGGAGCAGGGTGTTTCCGTCTGTCCTTTTTTTTTATGTGTGTGTGTGTGTGTGTGTGTGTGTGTGGAAAGTGTCTGAAATCATAGCAGGGAATGGACAGAAATCTAAAGCATCAAACTGGGTGGGGTCCTAACCACAACAGCTCAGGGTGCAGAAGGGTCATTCCTTATGTCCCCATGGTACAGTCAGGATTGCTCACACACACACACACACACACACACACACACACACACACACACACACATTCACACACAGGCTTTTGAATGCTACAATGAAATCAAATGTGTAAACTGTAAATCTCTCATCTGTTCTTTGTGTTTTTATTATCTAGTATTTTTTTCATCATATGACCTGTATTATTGAGCGTTCCTTTTTAGTAAAGTTTGTTTTTATGCTTTTGTGGCCCCCCCCTACTGCAAACCTTGTTGTCACTGGTGCCAGATTTTAGCCTTATTTGCAGTAACTTTTGTGAGGTTTCGAGAAAAAAGAAAAAAAAAAAGAATCATTTTTTTAAGAGTCTGTAAACATCTGCAAAACAGACTGCAATTACAAAGAACACAAATGTGGTTGTTCCTTCCGAATAAAGCAAATCAAATCTATTCGTGTTAACATCTGATTTAATTTTAATGTACCTTCCAGCAATGGCAGCTTTATAAATACTTTCCCAGTGGAGCTTCTGTGGTCTCTTTCATCAGAAGTCTTGATGTGTCAGGCCCTGAAAAACAACTGGGAGGCAGACACGAGTGAATTTACTGCTTGGTTGCACAATTTTACGTGCTAAATAATTTTTAAGCTAACTTTACATCCGATGTCCTCCCTGAAACTTTGCAGTGAGGAGGCGTGATCCAGAGCAGCATCAAACACGTGTGCTGCATATGTGTCACCCAAATGACCCGAAGGAAACCAGACTGAGTCATCACAGTGGCTTTTTTGTCTGCTCTATTTCTACTTTGCGAGATTCTTTAACATCATTTTTGTAAAAATAAAATCAATTCTCCAGATTCTGCTGTTAACTACAATCACTGGTATGTGTTGTGGGAGGAACCGATTCTTTTAAAGCAGCACATTTATCTGGTGTGATCTTTGGTCTGGAGAACATTTTACTGAATTGATGAGTTCAGGTTGAAAAGCCACAGTGAGTCAGAGTTTCTCAAACACTGCATCCCTTTCTTTTACTTCACTTACAGCCTAAAGAGAAACAATCAAAGCAATTTTCAGCTTGTTTATCCATGCTGCTGGTGGAGAAACAGTAAGTGGTAACATTATCTCCCGCTCTGTCCTCAGTGATATCCTGAACGGTTCGGCGGTGTGTGTTTATCGAATGGAAGATGTGGTTCGAGCTTTTAAAGGAAACTTTCTGCACAAAGAGGGGCCTCAGTATAAGTGGGCAGAATTTACAGGCAAGGTGCCTTACCCACGACCAGGAACTGTAAGTGAACACTCAAAATGGTCTTCTTCAGACTTTTTTTTAAATGTGTTATTGAGCATAATCTTTGCAAAACAACTTAGATGACTGCTGTTAAATATAGAAACAACCCTCAGAAAAAAGACATAGACTTGCATTAGAATCTACAGATTTCATTGTAAGGTTTAAACTTTACTTTGAAGCTTTTGCAACACATTAAAAATCTCGTCTCCCTTTTATTCTCAGTGTCCTAGCAGCACATATGGAAGCTACAGCTCGACCAGAGAATACCCTGACGATGTGATTTTCTTCAGCAGGACCCATCCTCTGCTGCAGGTTCAGCTGATCTCTCACTTTATTAAATTGCATGCATTTAATTGTATTAAACCTTGCACTATTTTACACTGAGCTGAGTAATATTTCTCTCTATTTTAGTCCAAAGTCTTTTATAAAATAAAAAAAATTGAATACGCACAGCCAGGACATTTTTTTGTCATATAAGCACAGTCAGCAAAGATCAAAAACGTATTTATCGTGGTACTTTAAAAAAAAAGTAATAACTTTTATTTTAGGAACATGTCCTGCCGCTGGGAGATCGCCCCCTTCTGGTCAGAGTGGGCGTTCACTACAAGTTTAGCAAGCTGCTGGTGGACAGAGTGGAGGCTGTGGATGGTACATATGATGTCCTGTTCATAGGCACAGGTAAAGGCTGATGACCTTTTTTTACCCACTGGGCCTTTCTTGGTGTAAACATTTAATGTTTTTTTTTCTTGTTTTTTTTTTTCTCAGACTCGGGACTCGTGCTGAAGGCCATCCATCTGCCCAAAGAGCACGGTCTGAGTCAGGAGGTCACTCTGGAGCAGCTGCAGGTCTTTCAGGTATAAAAAACATTCTGTTAAAACATATTTTATTCTCATCATTTTCTTTGTGTTGGCATGTTTTCTATAATGTATTTTTTATTACAACTCATGCATCAAATCAGCGTAGAGTTTTTCAGATTTTTATTGCAAATTGAGGTTTTTGCGTGCATCTACTTGGGTTCATCCTTTCAAGCATCACCGAATAAACTCTTTGCATTACATTTCTGTGAAGACATAATGCTCAGCATACGTTTCAAATAAGCCCCTGCTTCGAAATATAAATACAGTCATGATGTGATGAATTCCATATCTAATCCTACCATATGAAATGAAAAGAAACCGCAGTCTACAGCAGGACTACAGCACACATTGCTTACGTTGGAAATTCTCAGCAATAAAGCAAAGCATGCACCATTTCTGCCAAATACTTAAACACTGCTAGACTCTGTTAAATATAAGAGCACAGAAATGCAGTGAGATCCCCCACATACATACAGCATATACAGTACTAACATACCACAACAATGTGCACTTTATGTTAAACAAAGCAAACAATGCAAGCTAAAGAATTTTACACTTATTAACTGTCTAAAAATATTTACCACAATAATACATATGAACCCAGTTTATGTCTTGTCAGTGTGAAAGGATCCTTTATTTTAATTCAGCATTTCAGTCCATGAAATAGAGCCGTTCATACTTTGTTTTTATCTTCTGCTGCAATAAAGGTGGGAAAATATCTATCTATCTATCTATCTATCTATCTATCTATCTATCTATCTATCTATCTATCTATCTATCTATCTATCTATCTGTCTGTCTGTCTGTCTGTCTGTCTGTCTGTCTGTCTGTCTGTCTGTCTGTCTATCTATCATATATCTAGCATCTGTCTATCTTTCTATCATATATCTATCATCTGTCTATATATCTGTCTATCTATCATATATCTATCTATCTATCTATCTATCTATCTATCTATCTATCTATCTATCTATCATATATCTATCTATCATATATCTATCATCTGTCTATCTGTCTATCTATCTATCTATCATATATCTATCATCTGTCTAACTATCTATCTATCTATCTATCTATCTATCTATCTATCTATCTATCTATCTATCTATCTATCTGTCTATCTGTCTATCTGTCTATCT